TCCCTTGGTTACCGTTTATGGCATCGAAAAGATCACACACACCCTAATCTGAATATTTAACTCTTTCAAAAGAAACTGTGTTAAATTTTCACCTTTGGGTGGGTAATTTGTCAATGGAAACATTGATTTTAATAAAGATTAGATTGATTTCAAAGCATACGTCGAATGCTGATTGGATAGCATAAGCTATAAATTTACAATCCACTGAGTAAAAAATAATACTAATAATGATATACTCAGAATAAGAATAATTAAGTCACACAATTATTTTCAACAAAAATCCTTCCTCATGCCCTACAATTATAAATCCATTAATTTTAGTATGTAATTGCCAATAAAGTTAAGAATTATCAGTTATTGATTTGTAGAGATTTGATTGGCTGGTTACAGAATTTCATCATGAGATGACACTGACTAGAGAACCATTGGAAAACTTGGGAGTACTGGAATTTATGGGCCACTGGATCAGGCCCCAGTGGCTTAATGTTCTATGAGGTCGCTCGCTTGCCTTGTAATAAGAAGGTAATGGGTTCGAGCCCCGGGGGCGGATGCGTACTGATAATGAGTCCTGAACTAGGACGAAACGGCTGTCCAGTACTCCCAGTTCATGATGAAATCCTGTACCCAATTAGAATTATATCAGAAGGTGTAGTGTGGAACAAATACAAGATGGAATAATAGTCAGTGATCAGATTGTCATTGGTAATTTATCCTTGTCTTGGTGTGTATGAGCACTCGTCCAGTTGAAGGACTGAGTACCAGTTTAGCTGCAGGAAATGGTATCTATTGTTATTATAAATCTCTCTCTCTCTCTCTCTAAAGTCTGGCGAAAATGGATACAACTAGTAGAGGGATTACATACTTGTATATTATTGAAAATACTTATATATATATATATAGTACTCCATTAGATTTCAACAGTCTATTGACCTGATGTCATTAGACGGCTAAATTTAACTTCGAAACTAATTAGTTGACATTTATACACACAGAGAATAAAGTATTACGTCATACAGTTATTTTTAGGTTAATTATTGATATTTTTTGTCAGTAAAAAAGACAGTTATAAGAATTTATTGCTTTGAAGTAAAAACAGGAATGTATCGATGACATTCAGATGTGATTGTCGACAACTTAATTACCAGAGTTCAATTTTTTCTTAAGAAAGAGGGCTAAACTGTATGTAGACTCTATTGTAAACGTCTAATCTTACTGGGCTTTTCTTCTTATTTGATTTTTCAGCTGTTTTCAATGTAGATGTCGTGATAAAAATCGGCATCAATTGCAAAATCACAAGAAACCAAGGAGCACTGGATAACTACCCCCTCCTAAACCGGGACTCTTCATCAGTATGCACCTACCATTTTCACTGGGGCCCAGTGTGGAGCCTTCAGGTTACGATACCAGCTCGTTGACCACTCTTAATCATTCGAAGCAAAATGAACTGTGAATTCTGACTTCATTGATTCGTGATGCGCAGCTCTACTGTCAAACAATGCCATCGATTGAAGTCCACTTCGTCTACGCATGATAAATCCCACTAACTACAACTTCTTATTACAACTTCACATCATCTATCCAGTAGCTGCCAAACAAGCTGGAGGTTATCTGTTTGGAAAACAAGCAACTAAATTAATATACAGACAGACGGATTATGTCTGTCTCAAGAGGCCGGATCGGAAGTCTCAACATGTATAGACTGAAATCAGACTAAACGGAAATCATTAGGAGGTTAGTTAGACCAGAATTTCAAAGACAGCGATAATAAGTGAATAACTCTGTTATTGTGATGCTGAGTGTGATACACACTGACGATATTATGTAGTGGTAACATCACATATCATGGTTTAGTGGAAGTCAAAACTCAAAAGACATTGGATTCTCACAAATTTACTGAATGGCAATATTATCACTGCATAACCTTAGTTCTACCTACCAGTCATACGTCTCTAGAAACATACTACCAAATAATTCCAGTTAAGGCTAAAACAGCTGTCCAGTGTTCTACTGTTTACAAAACAGTTCTCTAACTGATGTTGACTAGTAACAAAGTCTACATTGAAATCAACCAAATTCTTATTGACCCAACATTTTACTAAGATTAGTAATCACTAATAGCTGCTACCTTCTCTCGATAGTGGAGACTGGATATCGTCAGGAAATATATACAACAAGGATCTCTGACAAAGTATCAACCAACAATCTATACACAGGGAAATGGAAATGAACTAGATAGATGCTTAGGATACGATTCAGTGATATTACAACACGCAGTGATGTATGGGGTATAGGTTTGGATGTGAAATGAAGGAAATCAGTTGAGACGAAAGTAAAAGCTTGTAAGCAACTAAAGAAGACGGTAGAAGATAAAATACTATTAAGTCCTATGTCCCACTAGGAACCCTAAAGACGAATAATAAACAATAGTAAAAGTAAACAATAGTCCACTTCTTTGAATTATGGTTATGTGTCATGTGTCATACCATCCCATTTCTTGTATTTTGTGAATAATTGAGCACTCAACTAATTTTGTTGATTCCATCTCAAGGCTAATCATAACTAAACACTAGTTGTTTAGAATTCGTTTTATGAATCTAATCCCGATTCCATGGTGTATCGATTTTTAATTACATCAACCAGTTAAGGGATTACAGGTCAGATTTTGAGTTTTGTAAGGATTTCGACTAATTTCACTAGAGATTTGTTGATCCTGTAGAGAATCGCTGAAAAGCAAGGGTGAGTAGACAATTCTTTCATCTCCAACTTGAGACTCCTCAGCAATGATCATCCATCACCTTTAAATTAGAAGGCCAACACATTAAGCATTCAGTCATTGAGGTGGAATTCAATGACCTTCGAATTATAACTTCTGTCGATTTGTGATGGAACTTTACTGTCAACCAGTGCCATCGATAAGCCTTCCTTTCACCGTAGCATAGTGAACACAACCAACCTCCAGATTTGATCCCTAGTAGGATCATAGGAAGCAATAAGATGAAGCAGAGTTCTGTTGCTCCTCGATTTTCAGTTATTTTTTAAATACTATCAGTTTTTGATGAAATCGAAACTGTGATCAGACGTCAGTTGAGTGTAGTTTGAGGAGAAAATCGAATTGAAGTGATAGTGTGAGCTGAATACCTGCCATTAAATTTAGTAATTATAATAAAAGTGTGACGTAAGTATTGGTTGTGTTTGCCAAACCCCATTATTAAAGCTAAATATTGGTTAATTTTATTCTCTAAAAGACAGATCAATTTCACAAAGTAAACTAATCTAAATGTTCGTGAAACACAAAGGTTAATGGTTGTTTATTTACTCTTGTAACCCAATTGAATATGATACTATGAAGTATAAACAAGTTAAGTGAGCTGATGGGGTTTGCCAATCGAATCAGGAAGGCAAATTTTGTTCCATTTGGGACTTGCCACCTGAATGTATCTGCATCCCTAGTGAGTAATTGTGATTCCATTAAGACTTGAACCCAACAACCATCATTTAAAACCCCTAAAGCGTTCTCTGCCAAGCCATTTGGCCTTGAGAACCACCTATTGTGTTACAGATATCAGTTTTCTTTTGCTGGAAATCCTCGCCAAAATATGCGGATGGCAAGTTTCAAACAGATTGAAACGAATCTCCTGGAGACTTCACTTCTGACAACCACTAACATAGTATCAACGTGTGTATCTATGGGTTTTATTGATACACACATAATAGAAGTCGACTTGCGTAATTTAGTTAGGGAGAAATTTAAGGGGGTTTCAATAATTAATTTTTAATAGTTCAACATAGAAGAATGCTCGGCAATCATGCAGGAGGTCTAGGTTCGATTCCCGACCGATGCACTCGTAAACCTCACCTAGTTAGCAATTGGCCCAGAAAAGAGGCAAGCTTCAAAACTTAAGTCTGGAAACCTTATATTCAACCTGGCTGGCAAAGGAATGATAAACCAGTTTGATAAAATAAGCTGTCATTCTAGTCAATGAGTATATAAGTAGTATAAAAGGCTTATTAATGTTTCTTCTCTTTCCAAAAATATAAAACACATTATAGCATAGTCCAGCTTTTTATCCATGATAAAATTTAATCTGAAAAATGAATTTGTCGGTATAATAAATTATACCTATGTGTTATCAGCATAAAGAATGATTTTCGCCAATTTTTATCAGTATTTTTTCCCGTGTAGCATTATTATTATTATTATTACTATCCATTGTCAAACATTATTTACATCGATTCTGAAAGATGATAAAATGTTTGTTTTGTCCTTGTATTTGAGATCGTCTACATATTATACATTAGGTAAATTGTTAGTGTATGCATGCATCGCATGCATTATTTGTCCACATGCTGGAAACGCGTGTGTGTGTGCATGCGTGTGTGTGTGCATGCGTGCGTGAGTGCATGTTTGAGTGTGTGTGGGTGTCACGAATTGTACCTATTTGTATAATCATCATAGGCAGTCAGTCTATTGTTAAAAATTGTTTTTATTCACTTACATATTTCTACACATTTTGAATATTTGCTGGTCTGACCCAGAATAATTTTTCATACCCATTTTATTTATTTATGTATAGTAATTCCTTTCTTCTTAAATAGACACAGAAAAAGAGATAGGTAGGTTAGATAGAAAAAAAGGAGGAGGAGAGAAAGTTGTAAAAATCTACAGACCATTCTTTTTTCTCCTTTTTTCAAACCCTTTACATCTTTTATTTTGTATTGGTGTTCTTATTTCTATAAAAGATGATAAAAGGCAATGTATCTGTGTATGCGTGCGTGTGTGTATTTCACATACATTATCTGATAATCATTAGGTAGGTAGAGAGAGAGAGTCCTTATTGGTTCGGCTGTCTTTCCGCCGTTTCATACAAGTCAACTACCAATCAGAAAACTGGTCAGGAATGATAATCACTTAGTTTTCACAGCGATTTGATTGGTTGAATCTGTGTTAAGAGAGATTGATGTTTTAGAAAGAATGAAATTATTTATTTATTTAACAAATAAGCGCAGTTATTCATTCCTTCATACAAATATATGTATGTGTCATTTCATTATAGTAAAATAAAGAGGAGATGCATCTATATACATATTTCCTTTCTTGAAAAATACAAAAAAATAATTCTCTTCCATTTTTCTTTGCGAAAAAATAGAAGACAATAAACGAGGAATGAAAACGAATAAAAACATCTTTCCCTAAATCTACTTCATCATTTGGCTTCCTTGTCAGTATTGCCAGTTTATCGTTGCAACAAGTGAGGCCATAGTAGATTAAACACTGATATTTTATTATTATTATTATCACCATCATCATTACCATTATTATCGATCATTTGATCAGTACACACAGGAAAATTCCAACAGATTGCTTCCATTAAAATATACAATATAGACGAACAAGATCTTATCAAAAATTGTGATTACTGCAAACACAGAGGAGTTGTATCATCCTTCGGAACATAAACACTGGACGGAGAGAGAAAGAAAGCAGTGAATAGAGAGAAACAGAAAGATTGTTTTAAAAATAAAAGTGATTAAAGCTCAAAAACTCTGTGAAACACCTTTTTACACATCCTTACATATACTAGTCATATATTTGTGTATATAGATTTATATACATCGTATTTGTACATTCCCTTATCTAAAAGCGTATATATATAAATATATGTTCACACAATGACTGCAATAACTGTGAAATATGAAGCTGAATTCTCTGATCAAGACAAGAAAATGGGTATGATTTTTATTGTAATGTGTTATATATATATGTATATATAAATTATTATTACTATTACTGTTATTATTATCACATAGTCCCTCTTGACAGGGTGTATTTTATTAAGATTTCAATGAGTGACCGGATACATTTACATATTTTTAAAAAAAATAAGCCCTTCACGTTCCCAGTGGAATATAGGGCTTCAAGCTAGTGGCTTGAAGTTTCTGTAGCAGTGTTTAATTTTACAGGATGGAGTTGGTAGCCTCATGACCAACCTTTCCTCCTTATTAGCATTATTTCTGGCTTGGTGAGGTAAAGGAGTGCGTCCGTGACCGGGGATCGAACCCCGGACCTTTTGAATGGTCAGCGAGCGTCCTAACCGCTATGCCACCGATGCACACATTCACATATTACTGAGGGATAATTATGGAATTTCTGATGAATTTTTAATGAATTTTAAGGTGTGTTTTTTGTTTCAACAATTTAGAATGAACAGGAAGAGTTTTATGAGTATTAGTCAGTTGAAGACACTAATAGTGACAGGTAAAATGCAAAGGGTTCATTCATAACATTGGGGATATATATATATATAAATCTCCTTTAGATAAGTAGCTATTGAAATCTAAGTTTTCTTTTTATGTACTTTCTCTTTTGTTTACTTTCACCTTAAAGCCAAGGTGGGTAACTAAATACATAGACTCATGGTTAATAAGGATACTAATACTTACGTTCTCTTTTTATGTTGTTACAAAATAGCAATGTGATAGTAACTGATAAAGTAAAGAATTTGTTAAAGACACTCATAAAGGTGTAAACCAAAATCGTTAATCATTCATCTTTTATTGTTTTCTATGTAATAATCTGACTAAAAATAGACTTTGTCGAGTGAGAAACCCTATAGTGATCATAAAAATACTCAGAGGCATATGATTACTGCATATTTCAGCTATCTCTGTTCATCTATCCAGAACTCATATTAATTGAATACTGATGGTTGGAGGATTTCATCATGAGCTGAAATCAGTTAGAGAATCATTGGAAACCCAACAGGGAGTAGTCAATAGCTGTTTTGTCAACCTTCTTTGGGGCTCTTCATCAGTATGCACCCACCACCAACGGCGTTCGAACCCAAGACCTTCTGGTTACAAGGCGAGCGAGCAAGCGAGTAGACCATTCAACTACTGAAACCCTATCCAATGGACAACCCATAAATTCTAACTTCTGCCAATTCATGATATAGCGCAACCACTTCGCAGTGTCTTCTTCGATGAGTTACTGCTTGGCCTCACCTTCAAGCTGATATACTCTACTGGTCATGGCTTCCCACTAGAACCCCCAGCTTAAATGGCTGAATAGGGCTGATCGCTAGTGAACATCAGATCGATTTTCAAGTGTAGAGATTTTTCGTTTGAATATTGATGATGATCGACCCGACATGTAGTTTCAGCTGACTGACTAGAGAATGATGACTATTCTTTCCGATAACTTCTTGTCAATAAACAATAATTTCTTAACGTTTTGTGATATATAACTGTAAAACTTGAACAAGAAATTATCGAAAAGAATATTCTTGATTTACTAATAAATCTTTCTGAGATTTATAATGGGCATTTTAATCGATTTTTGGTCATTTGTAGTTGTTTTTTTTTAAACTAAGCTAGAAAACCTGTTACTTTATTACAACACTTTCAGTAAATATTCAGCGTGTGTTTGTATCCAGTTGTCAGAATACTCTTGAATTAGGTTCCGCGCCTGCTGGAACATTTTGATGCATGAATAGAATATGGTGCTGAGATCTGCTCAGCAGTTGTCTTATCTTCAGATGTCGATTTACAGAGATTTGATATTATTGATTTCAGGATTTCATCATGAGCTGATATCGGTTAGAGAATCGTTGTTTTATCTATTAAGTTTAATGTCCCTGTTTTACACTACTGAATGGTGTCTTCAAGTTTTAATCGACCAACGGCTACATTTGAAGTTTAATCCAGCTTCCGAGTACTCTCAGTTCTTCTAAACTTAAAACTTTTATCAAGAAGTTAATTACTGAGTGTTACATTAAAATAAACTTCTTATTCACAATATGGAATTATATTCTACCATAGCGCCTAAATTCTACTATTTTAATAGTAAAACATACCTTCAAGTAAAAGCATATAATTGCGTAAAAGTGCAAAGAAATAACAGTGGTTTATTACAGTTACTTTTTCAAGTGTTGTTTGGCAAGCGATCGATTGATTTTAACTTTGACCACAAAATCATACCGCTTAGAGAACCATTGGAAGGAAACCAACGAGTACTGGACATCTATTTCGTCCTTGTTTGCGACCCTTAAGCAGTACATCTCCATGATGCACAAAAGGTATACCTCGGGTCCTTCAGACTACAAGGCGAGCTCGTTGACAGTTCCTCCATTGGGACGGAGTTCAATTCAACAGTTACTGTTAGTTATGGACCAGTTGTATTCATTTAGAAAATAGTCAGTAATTTTTCTGGTTGAATTAAGCTATTTCTTAAATAAAATAATGGTATATACTACTGACTGATTGATTTGAGTAGTTTGAAATCACTCATGTTAAGATACTAGGTTATTTGTTACCACCGTCAACTGACTCCACGATCCCTTACAAGTTAACCTTCAACCAATGAACAAATCATCACTTCATATTCAGCTTTCAATCGACAGCCTGCTTGAAATATGACATACCTTGAATATTTTCTCAGCCTATATGCGATTTATCTTTATTTCCTTCTGTCATATTACATAAATTTATTTGATGATATACCACACACACACACATATATATATAGTGACATGCTATAAACAATTGTAGAACATTTTTAGCACAATTTATTGTTCATTTTCAAAGTACATGTTGTCTACCGAATTCGATGGTTAACTGAATCCTTAATTATTGTGAATCAACAACTAGTGACTACATAAAGCAAGTTATGAAGTCCTGTTTGTAATTTGATGTCATTTACAACGTTTCCCAATGTTTCCTTTATACTTTCTCAATAATCTTTCATTGTTTTAATAAGTCAAAATTCTATTCCGTATAGAGGGTTTATGTAAGTTAAATTGTCAGTTGGTTTATGTGAAGACAAAACCCAAAAATAATAAACGCTTTAGTGTCCTACAGGTTTCATACATTATGAAGTTTAATTGTAAACTCTGCCATCTGTAAGCGACAATTTTCAATTTAAGTGTTATCAGTTCACTAGAATTTTAGGTGATGTAGACAGCTAATATTCCCAGTTTCAAACTAGGAAAACGGTTGTGTAGTGTTCAGATAATTCATATTTGGTTAGGACACAAATATGAACTGACATGGTTGGTTTAGAACGACTCGTATTACACTGAGATTTATCCATTCACCATAAATTCTTCCGATTGTATTACAATCCGGTGTTTATTAATAGCTGGTTATTACACGAATGTTCCAATTTTATAATTTTTTTTTAAATGGGTAACTCTTAAAATCCATTGTATAAATAAATGACATCATATCTGTGTTATGAATTGAGTAACTGCTTTGTTAACTAATAATGATAATTGAGTCAAACACACTCAACTTTCTATAGTTTGGTTTGTAAGGATTAGTTATGTTTTACGAGTTGATCACGGATTGATATCAGTTAGAGAACCATTGAAAACCAGGGATTACTGGACAGCTGCTGTTTCATCCTAGTTTGGGAATCATCGGCAGTACGCACCCATTGGGATTCGAACCCGGGACCTTCCGGTTACAAGGCAAGCTCGTATACCATTCAGCCACTGGGACCCGATTCAATGGCTCGTGAATTCTAACTTCTATTAATTCGTGATTTAGCGCGACCCCAACCATTGTCGTTGGTGGGACATCCATCCACACACGTGACATCTAATTGGACCTCACTGGTCACGACTTCTCACTAGAACTCAGGAAACTCCAACCTGTAGCAAGTCACTAGCGTACTGCCGATGATTCCCAAACTAGGATGAAACAGCAGCTGTCCAGTACTTCCTGGTTTTCAATGGTTCTCTAACTGATATCAATCCGTGATCAACCCGTAAAACACTCAACTTTATTTTCACCTGTCGTATTTCTAATATTATTATTTAACTAAAATATGATCAGTACACATGAAGTTCTCTTTTACATTTATATCAACAAGTTTAAGTGAGTACCACAGAAGTTTATTGATTTCCTTTGTTGTCTAAGCGTTCTTGAATAATGTGAATAAGTGGATAGAGTTTAAAATCAAATCATTGATGAAGATTGTTTTGAAAGCTGTAGATCGGCTAGCAATCTTCCCAAAGAATGAAAGAAAGCATTGATGTAAACTTAATCCATACTGATACTATTTTTACTTTTTATTGTTCTTCGTAAAGTACAGTAATGATACATTTTCACTCCTTTATATGGCAAGAAAAAAATCATTATAACATTATTAATAGCAGTTTTTTTTTAAAAAAAAAAAAAGCTGTAAACGTGATACATTCAAGATACTATTTGAATGATGTTGCCTTCATATGGGATGTAAAATGGACGCCTCGTCAATTGAATATGTCTTTACCTATGGTTACCGATAGCCTTCCTACCCGTTATTCACTGTTTTAGACATGAAAAACTTTACTCACTACCCTACCAATTCACGACAGGTATAATGTAGCTCACAGGTAATTTACAAATCTCTACTTTTCAACCCACTTCTCATGACTAAGTTGCCTTATGAAGTTCTTTTTTGACTTTTAAATTTATGGCGATTGAATTCACATCGAAATTAAGTTGTGTTACGAAGAGGAAACTGTTAAAAAGATTCTTTGTGATATACACTCGAATTCATTTGCACTGAATACCTCTGCAAGAAAGTTACCCTGAGAAGTTATGCCATTTTGAGTTTAATAACCTCCTGATATGAATCTGCCTACTTATACCATTCTTATTATTGTTATTATTTCACTTAATTCCTAGGGGAACATAGGGCTTCAGCCAAACGTCTCCATTGCGTTCGGTTCTCTGCTAAAGTTT